CCATTTTCCTCTCTATTCAAATCCCCGGTCACGAAACCCCGGGGCAAATTTGCATCCCCTAACCGTGGGTGTGCCTGGCAGGGGTCTACGCCCTGCCCGAGGCGGGTGGTGTGGATGGTGTGTTTTTTGGCGCATAGCGTACGACTGGTGTGGGCACCCCACCAAGGCCTTCGCCTGCCTTGATGGGCCGATCGATTGGTCTGGTGCCCCACCCTGGAGGCAGGATAGGAGGAAGAGGAGAGGTCACTCTCTCTCGCGCTCTCTTTCTCTTTCTCTCTCTCTCTTTCTCTCTAGCCTGCTGACCCATCCGTTGACCCCTGTGCAATACTCGACTGACTGTGGTGAGGTGGTGACCCCTCAGGGTCTTGTGACCCACACCAAGCCATCCGAGAATTCCCCTACTGGCTCTACGCGACCAAAAAAGGCATCTACAGATACGTTAGGTAACGGAAAGTCCTGGAATATACCTTGAGACTTGCAAAAATGGCCTTTTCCGGAAAAATGCTCTGATGCCGACCGCAGAAAAATAAAGATAAAGATAAGAACAGTCGAGGGCTACTGTAATGTCCTCGTCAAAGGGCTAAAAAGTTTAACAGTATTTTAAATGGCACCTAAGAGATTTGTGCAAATTTAGAAATCAGCTGGTCTGGAATGAAAGGTTCAGGCGCGGGATTCGGGTTTTTGAAAGCCCAGAGATATTGGATTTCCAGAAACTTTTTCGACTCTGCGTCACTACGCGGTCAAATACACAAAATTAAAAGGTTGAAGCTAATTCACTTATCACGCGAAAAATTATTGCCTTGTAGAATTTGCGAAAAAAAAACCTGCGAAAGCTCCTGCTAAAGCGGTGAAGAATTGTCTTAAAAATACGGCAGGAATTACAAAAAACTTGTTGAAAAATGAATATTCCTCCAATACTGTAGTTATGTGGTCATTCGTAGCAGTTATCTATTTGCAAAATTTATCGTTCCATCACTTAAAAAATTACCGGTCCCATGAAAAATTTCTCACTGAAATTTACCTAACCTCTCTGTTTCTATTTAGCAGATCCTAAAAAAGCCTGGATAATTGTCATCTCCAGGTTTTTTCTCCTCAAATAACACCTATGTCGCCAAAAAAGAATACAAATGCCTTTGTATTCGACCACACTTTTGAATACGCCAGGCATCAGCCAAGCTGCATGCACTTTTTTTGGTCGAAACGCTTCTCGGAGCATTCCGTCTCTTAAAAAATTCCACTATCACCCCAAAAAAATCACGCGCTCTGATTTCCCGACCTAATTTTACATACCTCGGATTTATCTGGAATTTACTAGCACCTTTTTAATGGCTAAACCCTTTTCCAAAACCCTTGCCTCGGTCCCGACCTTCCCGCCAGGGGGTGCGCCGTGCCCTAGCTGGCCGGGTGACCCCCTCAGGGTCTCTATTTCTCTGCATCTCTCCCCCTCCACACTCTCTCCCCTTCCCAGATGACCCCTACCCACGAAGCTCCGCCCCTTTCTCCACCCCATATTCCCGAAGCGGGCAGTAGGACCGGGGCCATACACCATTCATCCTGCTGCACCCATCCATCCAACCATTCGCTTCTGACCCTGATTTTCTAAAATTCTCAGGGCTACGGTAGGATTCCGAAATGCTGCTATGGACGGCAAGGTAAGTTCTATTTACTGCACTTCCCTTTATGCCTGGCTGGTGGCCGTGCGGTCGATGGATGTAGGCTTCGTGTTAGAGCTGGATAAAGGCGTCTCACCGGGTGTACATTCATCAACTGCGCTCACCCGAATACGAGACCCATACCAGAGCGTACTTTACGCAGTATAAATAGTACTAGAAAGTACCTTACGCGTCGACGACGCGCAGCGACTACGAGTACTGCTTTTCTAAGGCGGCATAAAAATTTGAAATTTCGAAATAAGTAGCTGCTCTAAATTTACATTGTACGTGTCTATTCTGGTGTACTTTACGTAAATAGTACTAGGCCGTACTGAACTTTGTAATACTAGAGCGTATTTTAACGCAGATAGTACTAGAGCGCACTTCAACGTGGATAGTACTAGAGGGTACTTTGAAGTCAAGACTACTAGGGCGTGCTTTGCCGTAGCTATTACTAGAGCATATTTCACGCAGATAGTACTAGAGCGTACTTTACGTAACATAGAACGACACGTGGAAATAGATGCGATAATAATATTGTAATATTACTAATTGTGATGTAATATTCGCCTTATAAGTTCCTTTATTAAGCTGAAAGTCATATTTTCAGAGCTAGCAAGTGAATAAGGTGGTAAAAAAGTGGTCTACCGACCAAAAACCAATTTATTCAAATCAACTCCTATTTCTTTCCAAAATTACTTTGGTATGGGCAGACTGTAGTCGCGATTATTCACAAAATTGTAGAACATTTGCAGAGATTCTTTGGGCTTTTCGTTGGAGGAGGAGGCGAAATGGCCCGGCGCCCCGTATCGTCAGGAAGTCGAGACCTGAAAAAAAACAAAGTAATGGCTTAAACACAGTTCTTTTTGAGTTACACACGCCTTTAAGACAAGTTAAAATCATAGAAAACGCCCAAATCGACCCTTTGCCCACTAGGTCTCGACAAGTACGGAAAGCTCCAAATCACACCTTGAACGGTATTTTAAACGCTAATCGAAGCTCAAAATTGCGGCCAGAATATCTGATAAACGTGTTTTTCGCCGTTTTGCGTAGATTTCAAGGGGTAGATTTTCACGCTTCCCAGCCCCTTTAAAACCGACCAAATCGACTTTTTTGTCCACTAGGTCCTCACAGGTACGGATCGCTTCAAATGACACACTGAATCACAATTCAAGCCCGCATGGAAGCACCTATTGGGGCGAAAATTATCTAACGCACGTGTTTTTGGCGTTCACGTACCTGTCGAGACCTAGTAGACCCTAAGGGTAGATTTTCACGCTTCCTAGCTCCTTCAAAACCCCGCCAAAATCAGCGCTTCCTTTGACTATAGCCGCCCTTCCAATTATTCATCACGATCCCCCCACCCTCTGCTTTGCAGAATTGATTCGTTTGAGTCAGTCAACGGGCCGGTGGTTGTCTCGAGAAATCGACGATTCCCCGGCCCGGGGTGGCCAGCTATCGTCGATTCCCATCTTGACTTGTTTTTCGCCCTCCCCAAAGATCCCCCTGGCTGGCCGAAATTAGCCTGAAAAACTGGATGAAAAAGCTTTGGGAATGGGAGAGAGAGAGAGAGAGAGAGAGAGAGAGAGCGCGCGAGAGCGAGACTGAGAGAGCGTCAAAGCTTTTTAAGCTCATAAAAAGGGCTTGCGACTGTTTTGTGTGCTAAATGGTGCAGGAGTCGTTTGTCCCTCTCTCTCTCTCTCTCTCTCTCTCTCTCTCTCTCTCTCTCTCTCTCTCTCTCTCTCCCTCTCTCTCTCCCTCTCTCTCCATCGCTTTATAAGTTACGTTGAAGGCAAATTGCAAAGAACTTCAGTTTGCGCGCCAGATCTAAGAACCTAGATTTTTTGAAGAATCTCTGTTAGTTCACCAAGTTAGCCCAAAATTTGACGTCCCAAGCCAATTTCGAGATCATAAGGTTCCGCCGGGCTACCCACTTACCGTACCCCAGCCCGCCCTAGCCCTAATCACGCGCCAAATGAAGTCCCGTGCCGCAATCGCCGGAGGGCATAGGGGAATCCGGTGAGTGTTGCGCAATGGTGGGGCCGGGTCAACGTCACCTCGAGAGGGAGGGAGGGAGAGACAGAGAGAGGGAGGGAGAGACAGAGAGAGAGAGAGAGAGAGAGAGAGAGAGAGAGGAGGGAGAGACAGAGAGAGAGCGAGAGCGAGAGAGAGAGAGAGAGAGAGAGAGAGAGAGAGAGAGGGAACAAAATACGTGCCCTAGAGCTACCGTAGTGAAAGTGAGATAGGTATAGGGTCTGGGAGTTTGGTTCCGGATGTTACTTTGGTGTCGACTACTATATTTGACCCCTACGTCGATTAGGTGTCGACAGCTACGCTACACTCCAAAATACGGGATCGCCGCTTCACGATTCCAGCTTGAAACTGATATTCCTACCAAGTTCAAGGACGAATTCAATAAAATTTTAGCCCTGCTGAGAAATGTCGAGAGCTAGCCAAGAAAAGCGGTTGATTTTGGCATTTCTTGGTACCTTTAAAAATATCCAGAAGCAGGAATTTGGTTGAATTTTCGTGTTTCTGAATTTTTGAGACTTGAGCACGTGACTCTTAGCGCTTGTCTCCACCATCGCCAAATCAAACAATACCCCGCCTGGTCTCCTGATTTGGCGCGCTGCCAGGCTATTTGTTGACCTGGATGGGTGTTGCGCAAGGGCAACCAAGATGCCTAGGGCCTCTACGAGATAACGGTATGGGTAAGGGCAGGGGCCAAAAACGTCGTAGGCAAAAATAGAGGGAGATTCTAACCTTCAATTCGTAGAAATCAACCTCTGAAATTCTGGAAATTTTCTTCACTCTTCGAGGGCCCTTTAAAACGCTTTTTCGAGAACTTCGACATTCGATATTTTTCCAGATTAAAGTCTATAGTCTATGGCAGGATTATGCTTCAATACTCCTTTAAAAACGAGAAGAATGGTTCCTGCCGTTTCCCTGACAGACAAACCCGAGACAACCCCAGATCGGACAGATGTCGCGCTCGATTTCCGGGGCGCCAACCCCAGCCAATGCTCATTTCGCATTCGAAAAATCGGGAGCATCCTTCCAGGGGCAAGCGATTAATTAGCATTTTCAAATGGTGGTCCCGTGGTGGAAGGCGATAGTTTATTATGCTTCAAATCTTTTGCAAGATTGAAAAGGGAATTTTTTAAACATGGAAGATTCAAGATTTCCTCCGTTTTCAAGTAAATTCAATGTAAAATTTTTCAATCCGTCGATTCAACCGGAAATTCAACCTTTTAAAATTAACCACTCCGAAAACTTTAGAACTACATGTGTGATTTAGCGAGTAAAAAACGCTTCAATACGCAGCTGCCTTACCTTTATATTGCGTCAAAACCCGACGGTCGGCGGCAGTTGGTCGTTGTCATTCCATGGGGCTTTTGCTTTCTAAAATTTTCAATTTTTATTGATTTAAATAGCTTTAATTTAAATAGTAACTGCATATTTGACGCACCACTAGCGGCAATCCAAGTTGCCTCATAAACTGCTCATTATGCATGACGTTGCACACCGAGTCGATGTCGCCGTTGAAGAACATCGCCTGGAAATGGATCTTCCGACAAAAACGTCATTTCACCTTAAACTTACGCAAAAACTATCCTTTCGAATAAAACTAGCGAACTTCATCAAAATTTAGAATGAAGCTAACGACACAAAATGACAGTAGCTTATAGCAAAAAAAATGAAAATTTCTGACCTTTCTCTGATAGCTGACCACTTCTTTCACAAATGGCGAGATGTCCAGGTATTGTTGGATGTAGTCGTTAGCAATATCATCGCTAGAAAGAGCTTTAAAAGTGTCTGAAATACGTATTTTTGCTTTGGTATACAATATGTTCCAAAGCACAAAATTTGCAATCGTTTTTAACGCAGAAAAAACCTATATCGAAGTCCGTTTTCGAGGATTTAGACTATCTACAGTAGCGTGCAAAAAGAAAGCAACACCCAGGAAGCTCTTGTAGCCCGGCCGCCTCGTTATATTTTGCGCCAAACGGAATGTTTCCTAGTGTTTTCGATGCTGTAGAATTTTATGAGCATGGTCCCCAGCCGCGAAAATGACGTTTAGTAGCTTAAATATCGACTTTAAAATAGCTCCAAAAAATCTACTTTTTCTAAACGCATTTTTCCGTTTCAAAAACATCTCCATCGTGTTCAGCATGCTCGATTTACCCAGAGTCAATGTTTCTGGGTTCTTAGGACGTCTTCAGTCGGCTAGGAAGCTGCGATTAATCAATCGGTGTGATGGGGGCGCCTGAAATACCTTTCCCCCAGACGAGCCCCCTTCTTGACCCGTTTGGCGCAAGCAAAACGCCGCTTCCCGGCTAAGCCACGTCGAAGCCCATCACAAATCGACCATGCTGAACACGATGGTGATGTTTTTGAAACGGAAAAATGCGTTTAGAAACATTCGTTTTTTGGAGCTATTTTAAATTCGATATTTTAGCTACTAAACGTCATTTTTGCGGCTTAGGACCTTGCTCATCGAATTCTACAGCATCGAAAACACTAGGAAGCATTGCGTTTAGCGCAAAATCTAACGAGGCGGCCGGGCTACAAGAGCTTCCTGGGTGTTGCCTTATTTTTGCACGCTACTGTAACAAGGCAAAAAACCCACATTTTCATCGGTTCTAATAAAAGTTAATAAATCATGATACTAACTTGCAACTCTTGTAAACCGGCACGCTATTCGGGATCATCAGCGCCTTCCGCACATCGTCACGCATCAGATACACGGTGCTGTCGTTGTAGTGGGCGCACGAGGGTAAATCGGCTAGCTAAAAGTTTCACTCGTTGCTGCGTTATTTTTTTCGAAGGTTATTGGCTTATAAAAACCAGTAAAAGGCTTAAAAATCAGCCTGAAACGAGAACTTACATGCGGCGAATTCTTGCCCTTGATCATCTTCATCTTTTGCCGGGCCATCGCCATCGGGGGAGTGTAGCCTTGGGGCTGAAAACTCACGCTATACTACTTTAACTTTTTGGGTATACTTTCGGGTCAAAAACCGTTAAAAACGAGCGCAAAATATGACCTAAAACTCTGCACCCACCTGATCCGTCAAATAGCACGTAAAGTAGATGAAGTACGGGTCGAGGCCGGTGTAGTAGTTGGAGAAGTAGAGGTCTTGAGACTGTAAATGAAAAGTAACAAGAAAATTAAACCTTAGAAAACCTACAATATTCGTGCATTTATTCATCGGATCGACGGCCATGTTGTACCAATCGCAGTCGGTGGACCCGGAGCAGCACTGCTCGACCGAGATGCGGTATAGCCTGGGCTGGTACCAAATCGAAAAAAATACCCCCTATTTATAGGGGGGCTATAGATGTTTCATAGCCCCTATGAAAAAACATATAGGGGTCATAAAATGTTTTTTTTTGTTTATGTTTTTTTTGTCGTATAGGGGCAACTATACCCCCCTCATACGTTTATATACCCCCCTATACGTTCATATAGCCCCCCTATACGTTTATATAGGGGGGCTATACGTTCTTATGGGGGTGAAGGTAACTTTGTTGGCTTAATTGATAACTAATTCCGAATTTCTGTACGATTTCGCGTAGTTCACCCGATAGAGCGTCTCTTTCTCTATTAGAAACCGAAACATGAGCCTTTTACATCGCTAAACCGAAGAGTTCCAGTGGGTTTTCTGAAGTTCCCGCTTTTCCCCGTATAGGGGGCTATAAAAAAACTATAGGGGGTATATTTTTTTTCATAGGGGCTATATTTCACCCGTATAGGGGTATATTTTCGATTTGGTACCAGCCCTGAAATTTCTGGGGTTTTTTGGTTTTTAGATGCTTCAATGGGCTTGTAAACGTAATAGTAGGCATTTTACACCGTATAGCCTGGAATACCGCATGAATTTTGGCATCTACTCAATTTTAAAAGACGTCAAAAGGATTATAAAAGCGACAAAAAGCAGTCCCAAAAAGCTCATTATCGTTTGCAGCTTCTAAAGCTCTGAATGGGCTTTACTCTACAACTTTACAACCACGTTACAGGGTATAAAAACTAGTAATCCGGGTAATCACGTAAAAAGAAAGAATTGGTAGATTTACCGGATTGCTCAGGAGTAGCATCTCGAAATGAAAAAACTAGCGTAAAAAGTTGCCGAAAACAGCTTTAGAAACTTTAGCAACTTAATTTACGTTTTTAAAGCTCGACGCGTATGCTACGCTTGCTCACTTGCGTTTTTAAGTATTTTAGCACCCGATTTTGATTTTAAATACTAACAACAGTAAAAAATCGTTGCAAAATACGGATTTTGACGGTTATTGTCTTGAAAAAGTCGTATATTTTAGTTAAAATGGGAAAACTACGTTTAAAAAGCTCCAAAACAAAGCTTCGACTTTTTCTGGCTTCCAACTTACGTCTCGTCGATAAATCCGTGGTTGTAGCTGTACTGGATCAAGGAGTTGAACTCGAGGTGCGAGTTCAGGCAGCCGTTTCCGACGAAGAAACCCTGAAACGTTGGAAAGTATCGAAAAAAACGCATTATACGACGGATTAATTACGATTAAACTGAAAGTTATACAAAATCAAAGCAAAAACGGGAAAATTTAAGTATACGGTCACCTAGCCAAACCCAAACTTTTTATATATAGAAATGTTCAGCTCGACGAGCTGGTTCAGGATCAGTTGAAAAAAACTATTGGGAAACACTTCTGGAGCGAGATATAGGGGTCCAAATTTAGCTAGTTAGGTATGCGGTCACCTATCCAAACAGGCATGTTTTATGCATAGAAATGTGCAGCTCGTCGAGCAGAGCCGATATCTGTTGAAAGAATCATTGGGAAAAATGTTTAAAGAAAGTTATGAAGGTTTGAAACTCAGTTTTCGGAAAGTTCCGGCTACGCGACACTCCTTTGTACGGAGCGGTGTAGTCTGTATTCGTACGTACGTCTGCAATAACACTTATTTATTATTTTTTGAGCGTTTTTAACGCTATTAATGTAAAATAAAGGTAACGGTGAGGCTTTTCACATTGTCAGGCAAGGTGGGCCGTCGCTTCGGATGGCACGAAGCCTTATTTTTTTAGGTAAAGTTTGAGTACATTAGAGCGAAATATCCAGAGGAAATGGGCGTTTTTTGGCCCTTTTGGTGTTCAAACTTTGGACGCCTATATCTCGCTCCAGAAGTGTTTCCCAATAGTTTTTTCAACTGATCCTGAACCAGCTCGTCGAGCTGAACATTTCTAGATATAAAAAGTTTGGGTTTGGCTAGGTGACCGTATACTTGAATTTAGCCGCAAAAACCTTAAAATTGTAGCGAATTAAAAAATCGAAGTCTAATAGCTTTTTGTAACTCATAAAACCTCCAAAAACCTTCGATAGTTTTAAAATATTTAACAACTTTTCAAAATCATAAACACGCCAACATACCTTAAAATTAACAAAATTCTTCCAATCATTGACAAGCCGTTGGGCTAGCATCGGCACGTAGGTCCCGCCGTAGCTCTCGCCGGCCACGTAGAAGTCATTGGCGCGGCGTTCGCGGAATTTTTCGAACCAGATCATCAGGGCCTAGTTTTAAAAGATGAGACAATCTCGAAAAAGATACTTTTACCTTATGATTATCGTCGGCCACCTCGTCATCAGTATAATTCCACCGGCCATCACGGCGCACGGAGAAACCGACGCCGGCTGGCGCGTCCAGGAAGATGATATTTGCGTACTAAAACGTAGCTAGTTTCTGCTGATTTTCGCGGAAATTTGTCCGTAAAAACAAGCAGCTCCGGCGTTGAAAAGAGCTATTAAAAATGTGCATCGAAAACGAAGAGTGACTTCAGTAAATTTGCTAGCAAATTGACATGGGTGCGCGCAATTTAGCACGATTTGATGAGGCTTTTCCTTTTTAAAAGTGGTAGAAGCCAAACGACCCAATCAACTATAATAAAAAAGTAGCGGTGTCCGTCTGTCTGTCCGTCCGTCGTGTCCCGGATTCAACTCGAAGGGGAAAGGAGCTAGAGCTTAGGTCTCTTCGGATTCGGATAGAGCGTGGCCAGAAACCCCCAAACTGATAAAAAATTTTGAAAAAGTTTTAATTTAACTTATTAAAATTAACTTTGAAAGTTTTTTCCTTAGTAAAAGGGGTGGGGGACGGAGGTTGGGGTGATTTTGGACATAGTGAGCCAGGTGGCGCGCGTTTCGTGGATGAAAATTTTCACGGAAGATTTCATTTCTTTTTTCTCTCATTCCATCCGGTCGGTCGTTATTCTTCGTTTTTTAAGGATTTCGCCTAGGGTAGGTATCGAAAGCCATCAGGGAGGTATCAAAGTAGTTTTTGAAGGGGATTTCGGCTATGGGGGGTATCTGAAGCCATCAGGGAGGTATCTAAGTAGTTTTTGAAGGGGATTTCGGCTATGGGGGGTATCTGAAGCCATTAGGGAGGTATCTAACTGTAAAGTGTTTTTACTCAGGCTGGCGTTTTGGAATGGGACCAAGACGATCTTGTTCAGAATTTTTTGCTGATTCCGAATCCGTTTTCCAAATTTGCTGCGGACTTCGCGTTGAAAAGTCATTTTTGGTCTAAATTAAGCTTATAAACGGGTACAATTCAAATAGGCGGGGGAAAGATTTAGGCGGGGAAACCAACTTTTTTTCTGTCGGCCCTGGTGGGAATAGTAATCAAATATAAAGTGTTTTCACATTGTTTTTAGCAAAATTTAAGCCTATCTGAATCGGAAAAACTTTTTAAAAAATTAGAAAAACGCTTGAAAGACGTAATTTTGGTCATTTTTGGGCCGAAAAAAATGATTTTTCGACCTAAAATTAAATTTTTTAATTAAGTTTTGTTTTTATTTTTAGGAATAGCTATAAACAATTTAGAAACACTTCCACTATTTATATAAAAAATATAGGCTTGGGCGGAAAAAAGCGGAAAAAAAGCCCGCCTAAATCTTTTCCCCCCGCCTATTTGAATTGTACCTATAAACGGCATAAATTCGCATGCTGGCCCACTATTCCCTGTCTGGGTCCAGGTATTGTTGTGCCCCTTCCAGTTGATCACCATGGTGCACCGGTAACGACAACTTAGAAAATCAGGCAAAAAATCCAGATGTAGTCTATTTTTTTAGCCTAAATGTCGAATAACTTTTTAAATAAAGGTCGGCAGCAAATTTGGAAACCAGATTCGGAATCAGCGAAAAATTCTGCTCAAGGTAGGCTTGGTCCCATTCTAAAACGCCAGCCTGAGTAAAATCACTTTACAGGGTGTGCAAAAAAAAAGCCAACAGTTTGGGTCGAAATAACTCGCGAATGGTAGAGAATCGAAGGTACGTTACCATGCCAGAATGCTTAAATATGCTGGGTATGAAGATTTAACACAACTTGATTTTTTCGATTTTTGAGTACGAAACTGTACTATTGACGCTGGTCACGACCGAAAATTGTGCGTTCTTGAACGAGAGGTGGGAAAATTCTGATTTTTGGCCTAAAAATAGTATAAAGTTGTAGAAATGTAATGGCAAAATCTTGGAATTTATCGAGGTCAATTTCATTTTTTAAAAGCGAAACAATTTTCGCGATTTTGCGTTATTTTTGTTCTTTGAGTGATAACTCGCTTCTAACAGACTACTCATGGCTGATATTTTGTCAATGACCTATCCAAATATTAATCTCGCATTCAACACCAGATTCCACCACAAACTATGATATTTTTGTATTGCTTGCTAAAACGTGCCCCAGTGGGGTACTGTAGGTTTCGTTTTTCCCGCTTTTCTCGGGGCCCCTAGCTTCGATTCGGCTAAAAGTTTCTGGGTTGTTAGGCAATAAGTAGGGGCACCTTGCTGCCAAATACGAGTGGGTACTATCCACAAACTTTCATGAAAAAGACTAAAAACGGATTTTTTAATCCTGCCACAGAATTTTGTAAATTTTTTGGTCAATTGGTCCAAAAACTGCTACTATTGGTCTTCCGAAAAGATCGAAGCGATTCCATGGCAAAAACACCACGAAAATCGAAAATTTCGGTTTTCTACAGTAACCCACGTGGAGCGCGTTTTAGCATGCAATCACAAAATTCCATAAAGTGACGATTTTTCTATTCGAGGGCCTTCTAGAGGTGATTGTAAGATAGCCTGTCAAAAAACGACTGATTTTTGGTGGTAAATAACAAAGTTACGAGGCCAAGTGCAAAACAAGGCCAGAGAGCCGATTTTGGGTCCGAGTAGCCGGGGTCAATTTTCGAATTTTTAAAAATAAAAAAACCAGTTGGGTCTTATGGATACGATTATAGTTTTAGGGTTATTATTTACGCCCGTCAACAGGGTTCGATTAGCATGGGAAAAAATTTGGTCGGCCGCCCGGAGGTGGTCAACCAGCCTGGAGGTGGTCAAAAAAGCCTAAAAAAAATTTCGCGGCCGCTACGCGGTCAGTAATCGACTCTGCTGTACGAATTCATTGAAGAAGGCAATGAGTCAGGGATCCCGGGTTCGAACCCCCGCCGCAACCTTTTTTTTGCTTTTTGGAAAATATAGAACGGAATTACGGGAGAATCCATCGGGAAGCCATCTGGAAGGCTTAAAATGCAAAATGGGTCCGTGGGGAAAGTAGAAACTGGCGAGTCAAGGGTCCCTGGTTCGAATCCCCGCCGCGACGAACTTTTTGCTTTTTGAAAAATATCGATCGGAATCGCTAGAGAATGGATCAGGAAGACCTCTGTAAAGTTTAAAATGCAGAATAGGGTCAAACACGGGGCGGAAATAGGTATTTTGGCAGCCAGGTAGATTTTCCCATTAAAAACCCATGCTTCCCATGAGGTTATCTCGGTTGATAGACTCGGCAAGGAAAAACGGAAGATGGCAATGGATGCGGAAGAATCTGGGAGATAAGAGGAATAAAAAAGATTTGGGACGCTAATATAAAGTTTTTGAGTTAAAAGCGTTTCTTTAAAATGGCCTCCCATGCGTTTTCCCATAACTTTTTTTTCGAAGTGGGATTTCTCGAAAACTACTGAACCGATCGGGTTAAAAATTTCACCCAAATAAGATCGTATCCTTAGCTATGGATGGCAGCCTTTAGTTTGGGGAAAATCGATCTCAGGAAGATTTTAGATATGACCTCCAGGTTTACTTTTTTTCAGGGGCCTGGAAAATCCAGCGTTGGGTTAACTGGGAAAAGGGTCTGGAGGTTGTCAAAATAATAAGATGTCGTTGGGAACTTTTGATATGTTATAGAGGCTCTGAATGCCGACATTTCGACGTACAATACAAAAATATTTTCGATAGGGCGATTTTGTCGAAACCGAAAAACCTCATTTTTTGCACAAAATTAGCATATAAAGTGCCTGGAGGTTGTCAAAACAATAAGTAATCGTTTTGAATTTTTTATATGTTGTAACCATCGTTAATCCCGACATTTTGATGGACAATACAAAAATATTTTCCTTAAACGGAATTTTTGGTAATCCAAAAATGGCACTTTTCGGCCAAAATCAGTCGATAATGGGCCTGGAGGTTGTTAAAATAATAAGATACGGTTTTAAAATTTTGAAATGTGATAGAGACGCTTTATGCCAACATTTTGATCTACTATACAAAAATATTGTTTATTAGATAGATTTTCAGGGAGGAAAAACGGTGAATTTGAGCCGAAATAGACATATAATTTCGCTCGGGGTTGGCTTAATCGATTCAAGCAGCGGGCGGTATTAACCTGCGGATCCCTAGGTGCAAAAAGCATCGAAAATTTTTTCGCCGCTTCGCGGCCAAACTGGAGGTGGTCGGCCGACCTGGAGGTGGTCATGGGAATCCTGGCCCACATGATCGAACCCTGCCCGTCAAATTTGGGGGCAATCTGATTCATGATCATGGTGACTTTCAGCTCAAAATCGAAGATCACCCTATTCCAAAATCGAAGTTTAGAAATCTTCTTAAAATTTCTGCGACGTGAAATTGCTTTAATCTTTGCATAGTTTTATTTAACTGATGGCACTGACTTATTGCTCAAAATATCCCTACGACTCCACCTTCCAAAATTTTTTTACGCAACCTCCAATTCGGTTTATTTCGGGTTTTGATGAATTTTCTTGGCGCGAAGACCTGGTCAAATAAATTCATGAACATGGGTTTAGGATGCGCTATTCAAATGGCATCAGCTAAAATTAAAACGACAAATTTCACAGCGCGTCTAAATTTTATAAAATGGTGGCAAGCTTCGGAAAAAAGCACGAGCCAACCGTTTTGGAGGCCCTAAAAGACGCCCTTCCAAAGGGGTACGGTAGCTCGAAATGTTGTAGATGATAGATAAACACCAGTACTACATAGTTATGCAAAGAAAATCGCTGAGTCCCCTTTGGCAATTTAAAAATATTTTTCTAAAGTTCGGTTTCGTGACCTCGAAAAATCCATGACCAGGGGGTCGTTGAAAAACTCAAAAATTCATCGATCTCAAAAAATTCTTTAATATGTTTATGCGATTGTGTCAAGCCTGTAGGTATTCCACAACAACTGATTTTCAGGTTTTCGCAATAGGTTATTCCAATATTAAAAATTTGCGAAATTTCTCCATACAAAATTACATTCCTCTCTAACTTTTCAACCAGACGCTCAAAAATTTTCAAATTTTGTAGGTGCATATCTGCTGCCTATATTAACTTACTTAATAAAAATTAGATGCCAGCCACCACAGGAAACTGAGAAAAATACAAATGAAGTTTCCCCGAACGCACAGTTTTCGGGTGTCATTTGTATTGCAACGTCGCCGAAAATCGAAAAAATCAAGTTGTGTTAAATCTTCATACCCAGCATATTTAAGCATTCTGGCATGGTAACGTACCTTCGATTCTCTACCGTTCGCGAGTTATTTCGACCCAAACTGTGGGCTTTTTTTTGCACACCCTGTACAGTAAGTAGTTTTTGAAGGGGATTTCGGCTATGGGGGTATCTAAAACCATCAGGGAGGTATTTAGGTAGTTTTTGAAGGGGATTTCGGCTATCGGGGGGGATATCTGAAGCCATCAGGGAGGTACAGGGTGTCCAAAAAAATTGTTCCGGACTTTAGGCTCGAATAACTTTTGATAGAAGAATATTTCGCCGTGCGTTACCATGCCAGAATGCTTAAAAGTGTCTGGAACTCCGATTTGGATCGACTTGATTTTTTCGATTTTTCAGTACACAACTGTACTATTGACGCTGGTTACGACCGAAAATTGTGCGTTCTTGAACGGGTGGTGGGAAAATTCTGAATTTTGGCCCAAAAATAGCTGATATTTATAGAAAGTTAATCCCCAAATCTTAGAATTTTTTAAGTTCTAGTTCTTCTTTTACAAGCAAAACAAATTTCACTATTTTGCAGCTTTTTGCCTTTTAATTCGCAACTCGCTCCAACTACGCTGCCCATGGCTGATCTTTTGCAGATGGTGTCTCCAAATGATAATCGTTAGCCCAACACCAAATTTTACCTGATTCTATGGTATTTTAATATTGCTTGCTAAAACGTGCCCCAGAGGGATACTGTAGTTTTTGTTTCTCGCGTTTTTCTTTTTATCGTAAGCTGCGATTTCGCTTAAAATTTTGTCATTGGTAAACACTAGTAAGGGTCACCTATGGGCCAAAGATCGCGAAGTTCTAGCCATACAACTTCCCAAAATATGCAAAAAACTTATTTTTGAATTTAGCCACGGAAATTTCTAAATCTTTTGATGCAACGGACTGAAAACTACTATTATTTGTTTTGCTGAAAGATTGAAACGTTTCTATGGTGAAAAGAACGAGAAAACGGCGATTTTCTGTTTTCTACAGTAACCCGCCTGGAGCACGTTTTAGCATGCCAAGACAAAATGCCATAAAATGCAGATTTTTCTATTCTAGAATGTTCTCTGAGTAATTATAAGGAAGCAGGCGAAAAATTACTTACTTTCTGTGGTGAATAACAAAGTTATAAGGGAAAGTGGAAAACCCTCCTCGGGGCCCGATTTTGGACCCGAGGCCCCGGGCCGAAAATCGAATTTTTGAAAATGAAAAAATCACGGGAATTTCGTGGATACAATTAAAGCACGCATCGAACTGTGTATGAAAGCAGAATACTGGAATGATCTGGCTGAAGTTAATGGTTAATTTTGATTCAAAACCCGAAATTAACGTTTTTGAAAAGCCGACTTTGGGGAGCTCTTCTAAATTCGTTTGCCATGAAAAGGTTTTGTATTTGCATGGGTTTTAGTTGACTACTCAAGCTGAGTTTATGCCAAAAAAGTCGGGGCTACTAAACCCTCGAGAAATTTTTTACCTCGTCCCGAATTCGGGTATATTTGGACTTTTCATGAATTTTTTTTGAGAGATTGGATGGCCAAATAAATTTTTAAATATAATCTTAGAATGCGCCCATTAAGCAGTATTAAATAAAATTATGACAATAATTCTAGCCACGCAATTGAATTTTATCGACTGGCGCAAAGATCTGCGAAATAGCACGAACCAACCGTTTTGGAGGCCCTAAAAGACGCCCTTCCAAAAGGGGTACGGTAGCTAGTAATTGTCTACATGATAGATGGACCCCAGTCCTACACAACCAAGCAAAGAAAACACCTAGGTTCTATTCGGAGCTTTAGAAATATTTTTTCAAAGTTCGGTTTTGTCACTTCGAAAACAACCATGACCAGGGGGTCGTTGAAAAACTCGAAAAATCACCGATCTCAAAAAATTCTTTAATATGTTTATGTGATAGTATAGAGTATGTCGGCAATCGACAACGACTTAGTTTGGGATTTTCGCCATAGGTTTTTTTAATACTCGAAATTTACGAAATTTTTCCATACTAAACTTCAGTCCGCAATAACTTTTCAACCAGACCTTAGAAAAATCCTAAATTTTGCATGTATCTATCTAATGCCTACAAGAATTTACACAGCAAAAAATTAGAAACTCCCCACCACAGGCGGCTGAGAAAAATACAAATTAAACTTCCCCGAACGCACAATTTTCGGGTGTCATTTGTATTGATACGTCGCCAAAAATCGAAAAAATCAAGTTGATCTAAATCGGAGTTCCAGACACTTTTAAGCATTCTGGCATGGCAACGCACGGTGAATTATTCTTCTATCAAAAGTTATTCGAGCCCAAAGTCCGGAACAATTTTTTTGGACACCCTGTATTTAAGTGGTTTTAAGTAGTTTTTCAAGGAGTAGCTAATTTTGTGCAGGGGTGGCTATAGGGGTGTCTGAAGCGATTGGTGTGGGTATTGGTGAAGATAGAGATGTAATGTGGTGGCGTAGAACATGGAGGGCAGCCCGAAGGCCAGCCGATTACAGTCGCGAAGCGGCTGTAATCGGCTGGTTTCTAATAATATTTTGCGAGAATGCGCAGGAAAAGAGGCTAATTCTGCCGCGAAATCTGCGAAAACCATCTCTCCATCGGAACTAGAGGATGCGAGCTAGAAACTAGGAACTGGAATCGAAGGACGAGACTTTCGTTTTTTAGAATTTGGAAGAAGCCAAAGCCTATGTTTCAGCTATATTTGTAGAAAAATCCTGACGCAAAACAAGTCGACCAACTGAAAAACAACTCATCATGAAATTGAACAAAACGAGTGGGTTTTAATTAAATTATTTACTAGCAGAATCCGGTTAAAACTAGGAATTTAGCATGTTTTGATCGTTCTCTTCCTTTTTCAGGCCGCTAGAAGCTTAAAAGCCAATTTCTAGAGATATTTTGAGAAAAATACACTAGTAGAACAGCGGATTCTATTCAGAAGATGTTGAACAAAGTTTGTTATCGATTTTTGCGGTTTTCGATCGATCCATGACGTACCTGGCTAGAAACTGAAAATTTGGCACTCTGCCAGAAAGCTCGTGCTCTTTCACTAGTTGGAAAAGCCCAAAATGAAGTACAACCAACCTTATTCCACGAATAAGGGTTCAACGTCAGCTGCGCGCCAAAGTTGTTCGCGCGGAATGGGCCCAGCTCGACGAAAAGGCCTAGAAAAAAAAGACTATCATTTATCTGAAGGCTCTACCTTCCAACGATGAGCATCCCGGGCCTCCATTCAGCCACAAAATCAGCGGGTCGGTGTCGGGCTTGTTCTGCGACTCGACATACCTGAAATCTGGTCGTTAGAGTTGAAAAAATTGTGGATGGTTTTGAAAAACTTCCAGTTGGGCGGTTTTGAGCTTATTTGCCTCAGAAATGTCCCAATTTAACAGATTTTTCGGCTCTTTCGCATTATCGCATTCTTTCGTTTATACAATAAATTCACCTACAATTCAACTACTATATTGTAAATGGAAAAACAATTAAAAAGGTTTTAGAAAAAATGTTTGTTTGAAATTTTGGCGGAAAATCTATATTTTGTGTATGTTTTAATCAAATTTTCAAAAGTATTAGGTTTAGAAATAGCAACATTTCTCTTTATTTATATTAGCAAACTCGGATCCTTATAATTAGGGAAAGCTTCCCCCCCTGATAATGCGAAAGAACCTAGGTTTATAGTTATTTTTAGCGTAGGTATACTCCCTAAAAAGACCCACCAATAATACAAGCTCTTCTGGTCGCTGATGTCCAGATACCCGGAGTACTGCTTGAACGGGATGGTGCCGTTGAAGTTGGGCAGGCTCGTGATCCGCTCGTTGCTCGGCGCGGCGTTTGAGCAGCAAAATAGGGCAATAAATGCCAGGAATGAATGCCTCATTTTGGCGCTGCCTGCCGGCAAAATTCGCCGACTCCAAGCAGATCAAATACGGGAGCCGCCCCGGCCCTTTCTTATCACCACTCACCTTGCATCACATCATGGCTCTTTTCCGGCTAGAGAGAGGGCCAAGGGGGTCTCGCAATCAGGGTGTAAACTGTAAAGATCGGTTCGGGGCATGGGAGCTAGAAAAGTAGAAGAAATTTCAGAGTTTTGTCGTCGTATTGATGATTTAGGAAAAGCGGAAAGTGCTAGAAACTCTGTCAGCGACTAACGAAACAGTTTCCGAAGCGGAAAAAGTGCAAAAAGGCCCTTCACGAGCTTTTAGAATCTGCCAGAAACATTTCTGTACAGCACTAGCGTATAACACTTGTTTCAAACACGATCGAGTCGAATTACAGTTAGAAAACCGGCTTCATTATTTTCCGAATAAAATTTCGATCGATTCTGATTAAACCAATCCTTTTTCCGAATTTTAAAATCGTACACGTTGGCGGTACATCTACATGCACCTCTCAAAACCAGGCTTCACACAACCGAGTGGAATTACAGTTGCAAATGTCATCTTAATTCGTTCCCGTCTGCTTGCTTCCGGTGCAAAAACTAGCCTTCAAGAACGGCCGAGGAAGAATCCCATTTTAAAAAAAAGTAAAAACCGTTGGCTTGATGCTTTAGTAGCAGCTAAATCTATTAACCTAAAAAAGCTAGCTGTGAAATGTCGATTAAGAAGTTCATATTTTGTCGCAAACAATGAAAAAATAAGGCCCAAAGTTTCTAACCCTAGAAAATCTTTTTAGCTACACACGGACGTGTAACAACAAGCCTTGAACACGGCCTAGTTGAATTGCGCCTGAAAATTTCTCGGTGCTAGCAGCTTACAAAAACTTTTATTTGCCTACGAAGGAGACTACCTTTTGAAGAAGCCGGCTTCATCCCTCTCGAACTTTTAGATACCGTCTATAGAAGGTACCCAAAAAATTTCAGAAACTATCAATTGTCAACCTTCAACTCCCCCACCGGAAGACAACAAATTTATTGAACCGCAAATCAACAAATCAACATTATTTACCTATACAAAAACTGAGCCTCAGCCCAAAAAACTATATTATAAATATATAAATAAAGTATAAATAAATTAGTTCACCAGGAGAGAGGAAGACCGGGTGAATGAGAGCCACGCACATACAAAAATAACCGGGGGGCGAGCAGAGACCATTGAACCCCAAACAAAAAGCTTGTCAAAGGCCAATGGAAAACAGCAGAAAAGGACACGCACAAGACGAAGAAGAGCACCCGAATCACAGTGAGATGATACAACTGGGACGCAGCAAGAAAAGCACGCTCACGCTCAAAGGCTCAACAGACTAGGGATTCGCGGTTTTTTCGGGGCGCTCGGCGAGTCGGCGTCGTCACCCGCGGCTGCATCCGCCCAACCGGAAGTGTCGACCTCGGAGCAGCTCGGCCAGCTTCAGCGCGCCGTGGATGGTGTATTGGCGGAGGAGGAGCTGGAAATGGGAAGTTGTACCAATTGGTCCGATTTTTACGATTTTTGTATCTATCGGAAGTTTGGGAAGAGCTGAGCAGAGTTATGTGCTTTCCGATTGTCGAAACTCAGGAATTTCCTACGCGATTTTGACATTTTTCATGAAAAACTTACAGATTTCTCGCAAAAAAACAACTACCCAAAACCTCGTGTATAGGTCCGGTACAATTTGGTTCCGTGCCAATACAAATGACACCAAATAATGTGTGTAGGGTACAATTCGGCCCAAAACCTATGTAAGCCAAAAGAGCCGGTTCTCAGGGCCTCATGCAGCAATTTCTTTCATTAAACCACTCAAATTGTCGGAAATAGTCGAAATACGAACAAATATTCCATCAAAAATTGCAAAAATACCATTCGTGAGCGGCGTTATTTGCAAGAAACCGAAAAACGAAACACACCAAATGACGGTCATACGGAATTACGGACGCTCCGTACACATGAAAATTTTCACCCGGAACTATACACGGGGAGGACCTATACACGAGGTTTTAGGGTAAATTTAATCGTCGTAAGCTCCAATCCAAGCTGTGTTCTCAAATGGCTTTCAAAAACCTATCGTCGCTTTGCCAGGAAAATAAAAACCAAATCAATCCAAATTCGATCCTTCCGGCAAAAGATTTTTTAGAGAAAATCTAAATTATCGAAATTTTAGGGCTTTTCTGGCAATAAATTTCCGCAAACAAAGCTTCACTGCGCTGAAACCGATTATATTGAGTTTTTGAAAGGAATCCGAGAGAAAATACTACTTGTTGTATCGATTTTTTTTCCATTCCGAAAAGCCTCCGAAATCTTTTCTGAGGAACCCCTGGGAAATTAACGATACCTGCGCCGACGCGGTGATATTCTCGCGCTGCTCATTGCTGAAGTAGGCGAGCACGTTCATCTGCACACGCTCACAGGGGTCGACGAGCGCGCCGACCGTCCGCAACAGCGCCCCAGCCGAAAGCGCCTCGAAGAGACGACGTATCGCGTCACTTGGTGACAGGGTGCGCTTCGCTGAAAAAGAGGAGATTGCGAAATAAATGCTGCTAAATACGATTACAGGGATTCCAAAAAATTGAGATCGAGCTGAAAAGCCGGCTAATTTAAATTTTCTTTAGACAACTGCTTCTTTTTAAAATTAACCAGGGTTGAAAAGCCGCTTCGCGACTTTTCAACCCTGGCCCCGTCTAACCCCATTGATCCTTAACTTTACATAATTTTCCTGAATTCAGATGACACAAAATGAAAAAAACTTCTTCTGTGCCTTTATATAGCCGAATCACCACTTCCGGTCTATGCTAATTATGCCGAACAAAGGAGCTTTCACAAAAACTTAAATTTAATGTCGAAAATGGCTGATTTTGTAAAATTTGATATGTGTGCAGTCATCTCAAGACCGTTGCGCACCTAATGATGTATCAAACATCTCTTTACACCTCTCCCCTATCGAGATATCCTCCGGACAGACAGACGGAAGTGGATGCAAAGTGGCACACACACACACAGACACTATTTTTTTATATATAGTAGGATTTATGGAACTCTTAAATTTGCATAAAAAATTGCATATTGTGCAATTTACACGCCGATTTTGCATAAATTTATACGAAAAAAAGGCCATTTTTATGGTGGCGCCTCGGAAGAACGGCTGTGTAAAAGGAGCAAAAAGCATCGCCAAAAGGCAAATTTTGAAGGCAGAAAAACGGACCGGAAGTGAGGACGGTCTCGATGAGCAGCGCCAGCGGCCAGTCGCCGAGCGGAATCCACACCGGCAGCTTCTCGCGTAACGTACGCATCAGGACCATCAGCGGCCGCAGGGAAGGGCATTCTTTTTGCCTGAAAAATTTAGTATTGAAAAACCCAGAATCGCAAATATACACCAGAAAAAATCTCGCTTGTGGCCCGGCGGAAAGACATATCGAGATGATTTTTATACCGGTGGAAAGCTTCGAAAAGCAGAACGAAAACAAGGTTCTGGACTATTCCCGAGTCTCGTCTTAAAAATTTTCGAGAAAGTTTGTTTTTTTTGTAAAAATTTAAATTTTAAAATATCAAAAATGACGAAATAGGTCCAAACTTCGAATTTTTAAACCGGGAATTCATAATTTTCTAGAAATCAAGAATTAAAACTCAACTGAAACACCATAAAATTACATGAAATATCATCCACAGGTATCCAGAAACACATTCTTATGTGAAAAAACAGAACGTGGTTTTCCCCCCTGCTAACAGTCCAGAACCGAAAACAAGTGTCTCCTTTTTGGCAGTAGTTAGCAAAGGTGCGCTTGAAACGTTCGTATTTTGCGAGTTTCCATCAAAGCAATTCGCAATTTCACAAAATTTACATGGGATTTTCACACAAGAACTTCTGAAAAACGGTCGGCCGGTCGGATAAAATTGCATCGAACCACAGAAATATTGCTAATGCCAAAACTTTTGTAGCCTTTCTGGTTTTTTTTCAACGGCTACCCCGTTTTCCCCCTCATTTTCACGAGATTCTGACTGGTGCAAAAAATGTTCCGGATTCCGAATTTCCACAGGACCGTCCGAGGGGCTTTTTCGGTGCTTCCAGGTTATCAGAGAGCGCTGGCCAACTGCTCGTTGCTTAACCTATAGCTGCCTAGCAATAAAATGTAGTTGATTTTAAGCACGTTTCAGTCGTTTCCGATAGCTAAAAGTCTTAACAATTTTATAGAAATTTCTATCATAAAACCGACCTTTAGGCCACTTTCAAGCGTTTTTCAAAAACTTTCAACATGTTCTTGATGTGTTTATAAATTCCATCCGCCCCTCGCTAATAGTTTAAACCATTTAAAACGGTGTAAAAGTCACTAAACAAAGGTAAAAACTTGATTATGGGATGGTAGAGATGAGATAGAGAGATGGTAGAAAAAGCATTTAGCTACCGTCCCCCGATAACCTGGAAGCAATGGTTCTACCATATTTACGCAAAAACCCGCCAGGTGGCAACGCATAAATACGGAAATCAGTAAAGGTTGGGCGTGGGATGGAGCGAGGACAAGTTATTTGCAGTCGAAGGTAGGCGTTTTTGACCTCCCTACACCCCAAGCTTCACTAATTGCTATCAATAATCGCAAATTCCTCACCCAAACCACTTGACGTGCCGCGACTTGGCGAGGGCGTCGAGCAACGGCTAGGGCGCGAGGCCGTGGGGCGGCTTGGTGAAGCCGGCGGTATCGGCCTAGCGGGCCTCCGGCGGAGACATGCTGATGCGGTACTGTATCGCCGAAGGGCCCGGGATCTGGAAATGGGGGATTGGAAAGTGAATTTGACAAAATGGAGAATGCGGCTAACAAGGAGACGTTTTTCGTGCCCACGAGTTTCGAAATCATGCTGAACGGAATGCTGGGTTCAAGCCGATTTTGTGCAGAATTTTCGCTGATCAAAACCTACGTTTGGAATCTCGGAAACGACCGTATTTTCAAGGCGACGCGCTTTAAAGTGTGAAAAATTG